TGTGGCCATTGAAAATCACCGGAGGCTGTGGGGGCACTAGGGGCAGAGGGAGTGCCTTCTAATCTAATCAGTCTTCCCACAGAGATTCGAGTTGCAGCCAGACCTGCCAGGGGTTTTATTGTATTTGTGGGGACCCGCAGATTTCAATCTTCAGACCCTACAGGGAAGGAACAAGCATTAAGCTAATTTTATTAAATGGCCACAGCTGGCAGTGGGGGGATGTGGGGGATAGTAAGGAAGATAAAGAAAAGCATTCAAGTCTGCCAGCCATGACAAGGGTCCATACATGGGCCCTGGCCTGGAGAGAAGCCACCCTTCCTTCCTGTCTCTCCAGCTGAGCTGAGCTGGGGAGGGGAGACCAGATGGGACCTTTCCTCACTGTAGAGTCTTGGGAGTCTCCAAGAGGTTCACCCCGTAGCTGCTACCCAGGGCAGATGTTTGTAAAGATACCAGGCTTCTACAGGGCTGGGTAGGAGTGCAGGGGCTTAGCTTTGGTGGTGAGGGGGACTGAGTTGCCCCAAAGCTGTGCTTTCTTTGTTCTGCTTTGGAGACCCCAGATCTTTACGAACTATAGTGTACTGAGTAAGTGCATTTACTTCTTCCTCGCTCTGTACCTTGGCAAGTTTCCTCATCTAAAACGGATGGAATAACAGTAGCCGTGGAGAAAGTCTCAAGAGCGCTTCCTGAAAATCCAGCCCCTACCACACACACGTCCATGAGATGGTATTAATAAAGTTTGTAATAGTTTCTGACGCAGAATGCACGCTTTCTAAATATTAACTATTATTACAACCTGTAGCTGTCATGGCCCCGTTATAGGAGGTAAGGAAGTCAGTGGCAGGCCAAGAAAACTTAGTGTGTTATTGCCAATGACAAGGGCTTCTTGGGTTCAAGAGAACCAACAGAATTTAGCAACTGTGTAGGATAAGCATTGGACTGCTAATTGCAAAGTTGGAAGTTCAAACCCGCAAGTCATCCCTTGGAAGAAAGATGAGGCTTTCTGTTCCCATAAAGATTTACAGCCTCAGAAAGCCTATATAGAATTGCTATGAGTTGAAATTGACTTGATGGCGGTGAATTAGTTTTGAGAAGAAGGGAGTCTTTGGGTGGTGCAGTTAAGGTACTCAGTTGTTACTGGAAAGGTTGGGGGTTCTAGTTCACCTTGAGGTACCTAGTAAGAAAGACCTGGTAATCTGCTTCCAAAAAAATCAGCCATTGAAAACGCTATGGAATACAGTTCTACTATGACATACATGGGGTTGCCATGTGTCAGATTCAAAGACAACTAGATGGTTGGTTAGAAGAATAAAATCTATCTGCCCCTGACCCTGCCAATTTACCCAGGGTTGTTGGAAGACTTGAGTGATAACATACCTGAAGGCATTTTGCAAGCTTGAAAGTGATTTATAAATAATAAAAGCTATGGTTATTAAGAAGCAGCTCTGGTAGTATAGTGGGTTACAAGTTCGAATCTACCAGTTGCTCCATGGGACAAAGATAAGACTTTTACAGATTTACAGCTATGAGTCAGAACCAGCTCCACAACACATAACCACCACCGCCATGATTATTAAGGATCCTGGTGTGTGGCGCTGTAGGATAAGCATGGATTGCTAATCTCAAGGTCAGTGGTTCAAACCCACTAGTCACTCCTCGCAAACCCTATACAGGGTCACTGAGTTGGAACCGATTTGACAGCACTTAACAACGACAACAATGGTTATTAAGGAGTCCTGGTGTGGCACTCTAGGATAAGCACTGGACTGCTAACAGCAAGGTCTGTGGTTCAACCCACCAGTTGCTCCTTGGAACCCCTGCACTGGGTCGCTATGAGTCAAAACCGACTTGATGGCACTTAGCTACAATGGTTGTTAAGCATATATATTGATTTTGATACATAGTGACCGTATGTGACAAATCCAATCTGCCTCGTAGGTTTCCCTAGGGTGGAATATTTATGAAAACACGTCACCAGGTCTTTCTCCCACGGAGCTGCTGGGTAAGTTCAAACTGCCAACATTTGGGTTAGCAACTGAATACTTAACCATTGCCCCACCATCAGGGCTCGTGAGAGATACACTCATGAGATATACTCTTTCATCTTCAGTCAAGTTAGATAGGTCTTGTAAATTTACATTTTATGGATGAGAAACTGAGGCCCAGAGGTGAAGCCCTGGATTAAGGTCAACCAATCTTTAGTACAAAGTCGGTTCCTTTCATTGCCTGCACTAAGGCAGCACTGAATTTGGGTGGATGACTTGCCCAGGATCACGTACTTCTTGGCAGTGGGAAAAGAATCTAGGCCTCCTACTTTAAAGCTTGCCATGCTTTTGGAATGCTTAAGCCACTTTCAGGGCTGCAAAGATGGAATTTTTCTACTGTGGGAGACGGTGATATATAACTAGGCTGCTTTCTATTCCAGTTGCTTACGACCACTTGGGTTGTGTTGGACATTGGGCCCTACTAAGAGTTGAATTGTGTCCCACCCCCAAAGTTATATTGAAGTCTTAACTCTGAGACTTATGAATCTGATATTGTTTGGAAACAGACGCTTTAATGATGTTATAAGTTAAACTAGAATGAGATCATACTGGGATAGAGTGGTCCTAATTATTAATATGACTGGTGTCCTTACCAAAAAAGAAGGGGTACAGAGGGAGGACAGCCATGTGAAGGTAGAGGCAGAGATTGGAGGGACACATCTACAAGGAATTACCATGAACCACTAGAAGCTAGGAAAAGGCAAGCGGGGTGAAAGGGTCTTCCCCTGGAGCCTTTAGACATGATGCAGCTGCCCTGTTGTGACCTTGAGGCAGACACGTTGATTTCAGATCTCCAGCCTCCAGAATTCTGAGACAATAAATTCCTGTTGTTTTAAGCCCTGTTAGAGCAACCCTGTGGTCGTGTATAGGGTTTCTGAGGCTGTAAATCTCTACTGGAGCAGAAAGCCTCATCTTTCTCCTGTGGAGCAGCCAGTAGATTCGATCTGCTGACCATTTGGTTAACAGCCCAATGGGTAACCCATGATGCCACAGCATTATGTGTAACCCACAGGGCTCTACAGCACCTCTAGGGCACCAGGATAAGCCCCTTGGCCCACGTCCTCCAGGACCAGCTCTGACTGTAGCACCTGGCTCCCCCAAATCTATGGGAAGCTTCCACCAGACCTCAGCTCAGTGGGGTGGAGGGATGCTGTGAGACCTTGGATAAATCATAGCCCCTCTCTGGACCTTAGTTCTAGATCTGAACATTGGAACAGTTAAAGTACACGAACATCGAGGTCCGTTATGAGGGAACAGTTTGGTTTTCAAAGAGAGGGTCTCGGCCAGTGTGTGATCTCCATACGTCATCCTCCTTAGTCATTTCAGCTCCAGCGAGTGAATTATTCCCCTGCAAATTCATCAATCTGAAAGTGTAACCTCTTGCTGTCAGAGAGAATTCAGGGGTTGCAAATGCACTTTAATGTTAGTATGAACAAAGTGAATATGAAAGGGGAATTTCGAACAAACTATTATTGATCTTTTTTCAACAGCAACAGATATCTTTGCGGGGGATGGGGGAGAAGAGCTAGGATTTTAGCTGATGTCTCCCGCCCCCAGTCTGGGCCCCATCTCAGGTAAATCATTTACATCTTTTATTTCTTTTTCTGTGTTGCACTCACCCACTGCCTTCTGAGCTGAAACTGACATCTCTTCCTGGGACAAACCTGCATCCTGGAGAGAAATGGGCTCAGTTAAGCCAGACTCCGTGACAGCCTAGCTCCCTGCCCTCATTCCCTACTCCTGTAGATGCCGCCCACTTCTTGGATTCTGCCCCCTCCACAACTTCTCTCCACTGGTCCCTTTTTCCATCCCAAAGTTGGCCTTTTCTTTGGGTACTCTTGGATAAATTCCAGTCTCCATCCCTGAACTGGGACAGTGCCAGCAGTTATGAACGGTTGGGGGTGATGCTCTATTGGACTGAGATGTCCAATAGACCACCTTCCTTGAATAAGAACCCCCCTGGTAACATGTATGGAGAAGGTGGGCCTAGAGTCAGCCAACCCTGGTGATGGTGAGAGAGGTCAATGGTTGGAGAGATATTCATGTTCTTTTGGGGTCTCACCTGGAAGGGGTTTTTAGTATCCTGGGCATTCATAGCAGCTTCCAGTCACTTGGACTATAAGTGAAAATGTCAGTGAGCCAGTTAAAAAGGTAGTGGAGAGGAAGGATTTGGAGCTGAGTGGGGATGAAGACGCTCAGGAGAATAAGACAAGAAAACCCACTCAAATGCCAGAGAGCAAAGCAAACCACGGTCTCAGGATGAGGCCTCCGTCCTATTCCTGGTCCTTTTCATTTTGTTTGATCCAAGACTGCTTCTCTGTTCTCAGTTCTGCCCTTCCTTTCAGAGGCACCCTTTCCCAATAAGTAGGCTGAGGCAGAGGTGAAGGCAAGCAGGATCTGAGATGGTTCTTGTCCCAAGTCCCAGTGCCTTCCTGAAACCCCTCCCCAGGGTAAAGACCCAAACTCCAAGGGGGGTGGAAGTGTTTTTTATTATAGCTTTGGTCAAACAGGGGTGTAGCGGAGCCAGCCAGGGGCTTTAGGGAGTGCTGGGAAGCTCTCCAGCCCCCAAATCACTCCTCCCCAAGTGGCACCACCCCTGAGCATAGGAAGGGACCCACCAAGCTGTGACCTCTCCCCCTGGGGCTGGCGAGTGGAGATGGTCAGTAAACAATACTATTGTACAAATATACATCAGGGGCTGGGTGGGAGAGGTCAAGGCTGTGCCCCAGGGACACAGCAGGAACCACCAGTCCCGGCTCTGGCAAAAGTGAGCGGGCAAGAGGGCCAAACGGTGGCCCAGGTGGGAGAGACATAAGCCAGAGCATCAGCCAGGGGTGACCCGCAGCCAGGGCCAGGCAGCAAAGAGGTGGGTGGGGGCAAATCCTCCTCTGCCTCACTGGAGGGCAGTGTGTGTGTGTGTTGGGGGGTACACAGAGGATGGAAGGGATCTCAGGGAGCTCAGTCGGAGTAGATAATGAAGCCAGAGAATGTGCTGTATTTGTTGCTGTTGCCGCCATGCGCTTTGCCTCCATCGAGCTTGATGAAGACCTCATCACCTGCGTCCAAATGCAGTATCACGCTGTTGCTGGCATAGTCATAGTTCTGGTCTGCATCCTGGGCAATAGCACTGGCCCGGACCTACAGGGTGAAGGTGGGTGGGCACAGGGTGAGGGAGGGAGTGATATGGGAGAGAGGGTAAGGAGGGAGAGGGAGACAGCAGTAAGGAGGGGGGTCATCAGAGGTCAGGAGGCTACACAGGGAGGATCTGGAGGCCCTAAAACCTGGCCACCAGTTCCTTATGGAATACAAAGTAAAATCTTTCAACAAACTGATGCAGTACTGGAAGCACTCACTCATCAATACCAAGAAAATTTGAAAGACAGCTACCTGGCCAACTGACTATTGATGTTAAGTGCTCGCAAGTAGGTTCCAACCCATAGTGACCCTGTATAGGGTTTCCGAGGAGTGACTGGTGAGTTTGAACCACCGACCTTGCAGTTCAAACCAATTTTGCAGTCCAGCGCATTAACCCACAATGCCACACCAGGACTCCAACTGATTCTAAGTGATCCATATTTGTGCCCATTCCAAAGAGAGGTGACCCAATGGATGTGGAAATCATTGGATAATATCACTAATAAAATACATGCAAGCAAAATTTTGCTAAACATAATTCAAAAATGGCTGCAACAGTACATTGACAGGGAACTGCCAAAGGTTCAAGTCGGATTCAAACAGGACATGGGACAAGGGATATCATTGCTGACATCAGATGGATCTTGGCTGAAAGTAGAGAATACCAGAAAGATGTTTACCTGTACTTTATTGACTACGCAAAGACTTTCAACTGAGTAGAAATGGGTAACATTGCCAAGATGGGTATTTCAGAACACTTAACTGTGCTCATGAGGAACCTGTACATAGACCAAGAGGCAGTTTTTTGAACAGAACAAGGAGATACCGGAAATGTTTTAAAATCAGGAAAGGCGTACACCAGGGTTGTATTTTTTCACCATACTTCTTCAATCTGTATGCTGAGCAAATAGTCCAAGAAGCTGAATCATTTGAGGAAGACTCATTAACAACCTGAGATATGCAGATGATACAACCTTGCTTGCTGAAAGCGAAGAGGACTTAAAATACTTACTAATGAAGATCAAAAATCAGTCTTCAATATGGGTTGCACTTCGATGTACAGAAAACAAAGATCTTCACTACTGCACCAATAAGTAACATCATGATACACAGAGAACAGACTGAAGTTGTCAAAGACTTCATTTTGCTTGGATCCGCTATCAACACTCATGCAAGCAGCAGTCAAGAAATCAAACATTGTATTGTATTAGGTAAATCTGCTGCACAAGACCTCTTTAAAAGTGTTCAAGAGGAAATAAGTCAAAAGGACACCTGACCTGAGCGACCGTATTTTCAATAGCTTCACATGCATGTGAAAGTTGGACAATGAAAAGGAAGATCACACAACTGATGCATGTGAGTTATGGTGTTGGAGAAGAATATTAGAAGTACCATGCATTGCCAGAAAAACAAACAAATCTGTGTTGGAAGAAGTTCAACCATAATGCTCCTTAGGAGCCAGGATGGCCAGACTTTGTCTCTCATACTTCAGACATATTATCATGAGGGAGCAGTTTCTGGAGAAGAGTATCATGCTTGGTAAAGTGGAGGGTCAGCTAAAAAGAGGAAGACCTCCATTTAGATGGATTGGCACAGTGGCAGCATATGGGATCAAGTGTAAAGGATGGTGTAGGACCTGGCAACATTTTGTTCTGTTGTGCATAGATAGGGTGCTAAGAATCAGAACCGACTCGGCACCTAACAACAATAACAACAGCCCCTTATCACAACCCCCCAACCCTTTCCAATCATAACATGTGTTGGAGCAGGATCATAGAGGCCTGGATTTATCTGGCAAGTGTAATGGGGGCCTGAATTTGGAATTAGCATGGAATTTTCCTCCTTAACTCATCCAAGTCTTACCATCTGGCCTTCTGGGGGACCAAGTATGTCCCTGCAGAGGGATTCTGGACTCCCGGGAGTTAGACAGCCAGTCCTTTTCTAATCATTTCTCCTTCTTTTCATTAATAATATTTTAGCCATATCCACCCTGTCTGTGTCAGTGGATACCTTTAGTCGTTAGACACAAGGACTAATGGCAGTTCCACAGTTTAGGTAGATAGACCAATGTCACACTGCTGGTTGTTGTTAAGTGTCATTGAGTCAATTCCAACTCATAACGACCTGTATAGGCTTTCCGAGGAACGGCTGGTGAGCTTGAACCACCAACCTTGCAGTTCAAACCAACCTTGCAATCTAGCTCATTAACCCACAGGATCATCAAAACAGATCTTTGGGCTCCTTGTCTGGAGTTCTTTCTAGTCATCCAACCACTTACCAGCCCAGTAATCATTCTTCCCTCTCCCAAGGTTCAGATTAGGCCTGGGTGTGGGCTTCCAAGGAGCCGTAACTATACAAAACAAACACACACACACAAACCTTACTTCTGTCAAGTAGAACTATAAATCTTTACCTAAGCAGAATGCCACATTTTTCTCCCTTGGAATGGTTTGAACCATGGGTCTTTCAGTTAACTGCTGAGTGTTTAACCACTGCACCACTAAGACTCCTTCCCACTTTAGCTATATCCTTGACTATTACCCCTCCCTCATCTAAAGTAAACTTCTAGCTCCTCCTGTCTCACCCCAGGGTGGTAGAGAGGAAATAGGTGAAAAGGAAATCCCAGCCTTACCCCCCTCCACCCCCATATGATCCTTATCTGATCTGATATCCTTGCTGGTCCTGGTCCTGGGGGAGGGAGGAAAAGGGGGAGAGGGGACAGGTAGGATGGTGGGGCAAGGGAGCACCAGTATTTGTGTATGAGCTTTTGGGGGCTCCAATGATAAGATAGAGTCCTGGCATGGCGCTGTGGGTTAATGCACCAGACTGCAAAGCCATTTGAACTGCAAACTCCGCTGGTCAAGCTCCTCAGCTGCTCCTCAGAAACCCTATACCGGGTCGCTATGGGTCAGAATTGACTCGACGGCACTTAACAACAACAACAAATGATAAGATAGGATTCCTAGTGTGGTGCTGTAGGTTAATGTGCTGGACTGCAAAGTCGGTTTGAACTGCAAGGTTGGCAGTTCAAGCTCACCAGTAGCGCCTCAGAAACCCTATACAGAGTTGCTATGGGTCAGAACCGACTCGATGACACTTAACAACAACAACAATTATTATTATAAGATATTGGGCAGGTGTGTGTGTGGTCGGGGCTGTGAATTCCCTCCTGAAAGTCTCACACAAGCCCTGAACCTTGAGATATCCTGGTGGAGAGTGGATGGGAGGAAATATCTCCAGAATTCCTTGTGGAGAAAGAATGCATTGAATTGGTTTTTTTGAGTTATGTTTTCTATGGCTAAAATTCTGGGCTGGACCAAGCCAAAGCTGCTGAGTCAGCACCAATGCTGCAAGAAAGAGGACTCAACCTATTTGCATGCAGCCTGCCATTTAAAGGCCAAATTGCTCCCGTCCCTTCTCTGCCTTCAGCCTCTTCTTCCCCAGCCTCCAAAGGATTTGCCTGGGCACTTAGCTGAGAAAACTCTGGTCCATCTAAGGGGCAAGGGACAATGAGGGAAAAACGTTCTGTATCATTGAGTTCCGTTTTTCTATTGGAAAATGGAGGGAAAGACCCTGCCTCACCACTGCCACCTTTGCCAAAGCCTTTTGATGTGAAGAAAAAAATAATAATAAAACAACTTAATAGAGTTTTGAGATACTAGGAAAGTGTTGAAAGCAAGCAGCCAACTTCAGTATTGTTCCCTGGGCCCTAATCACTGTAGTATTTATTATTACACATGCATTTCATTATCTTTGGTAATAAATTACTACTAATAACAATTATTTTTATTGCCCAGATTAATTCAGCCTTAACTCATTAAAACAGTGTGCTCTTTAATAGCCTAATCCATTAGAATACAGTCATCTGTCATCAAGAATTTCCCTGTGATGTGACAGGCATCAGAACTGTTATGTTCATGTTTATTATTTATTCATCACCATGATTGTTGCTGTAATTATCCTAATTACCTACGGAGGCAGGGAGAATTTATGCTGTTCCATCCTTAGATGGTAGGGAATCCAGGAATGGAACCCAGGGGTCCTGATTCTCTGCCCAAGACCGGAAGCAGTGGCATGCAGCTCTTGGTAGGGGCCAAGACGATGCTTGAGGAATTAAGGTTGCCATGGAAGCAGGAAAGCAAGTCTCATATTTGTCACAAGGGGGCACCCTAGAATCATCTCTGAAGGGTTGCCAACAGGGGAAACTGAGGCCATGCTCTGACTGGGAGCCCAGAATAGGGTAGAACACAAGGAACGTGTCAGAACCTGCAGATGAATGCTGGGACTTGGATGTGCAGGCTTGACTCCATAGGTAGCCAGCCTGATCCACAGGGATGCTTGAACTTTCACACACTTGCTGGACCCCTACTGTGCCAGGCGGTGGGAGTCCTTGAGTGGTGCTTAGCTGCTAACCATATGCTAACACACTTTAGTTCCCTATGAGTTGGAATCAACTTGAGGTCAGTTGCTTTGGTTTTGACTTGCTGTGACAAGCACTACGCTCCCTGCTGTGAAAGGCTTCAGGGTTCAGGATATTTGGGACCCTTCTCCCATCACAAGTGAGAGGCTGATCTCCAGTTAGGCCTTCAATTTAGACACCATGCCACTTCTTGCCTCTGCCTGACGCAGCCTCTGCTGGCCAAACCCTTGCCCACTTTTAAAAAACATTTTATTATGGTCTGGGTGAAAGTTTACAAAGCAAATTATTTCCCATTCAACAATTTTTATACATTTTGAGTCATGACATTAGTTGTAATCCCCTCAATATAACAGTGTTCTTTCCACTCCTCCCTTTTTCCATTTGCTGGTCTTTCCTGCCCCTTCCTGCCTTCTGAACTTAGACTTTTGGACAAATGCTGCCTTATTGGTCTTGTCTGGTTGGTTGTTCTGAGGAGCCCATTCCTCATGGGTTTTACTGTTCACTTTATAAGTACTGGACTGCGAACCACAAGGTTTGTGGTTCAAACCCACAAACTCCTCCTTGGAAACCCTATACAGAATCACTATGAGTCAGAAGCGGCATTTAACAATATTAACAACAACATTGTTTGGCTGAAAAATGATTGATGAGGGGGGTTCATACCCTTGCCCATTTTTAATATCCATCTTCCCACAGCCCCTTTCCTTGGAAAAGGGGTGCCCTAGCTATAGGCCCTGGCCCATCTTCAATCCACCCTCCAGCCCAGTTTATCAATTCCATGCCCTCCCTGACCCATCTCAACTGCAGGCAGATCACTGTGCCCAGGGCACTGCCCCCAACCTAGCACTCCTTCCTGAGACTCCCCAAGTTCTAATGGCAAGGTCTTGATATCCACAGACTGCAGTGTGGTGATCAAAGCTACCCCTAGGGAGAGGGCAGGAGGATAGGCCTCAGACAAGGAGATGGGGGCTCAGCATCTGGCACGAAGGGAGTGACCTTCAGCAATCTTTCTCAGGGAAGAGCTAGAGCCAGATGTGGCTGTGCCTTCCTGCAGAAATCCTGGAAGCCTCTCTGCAGGCAGAAAGCCAGGGAGGAAAAACACAGAGCCCAGGGGTTGTCCTTGTTCCTGAACACATGGGAGGGGCAAGCCCCTCTCCTCTAATCCTATCCATTGCTCAGTTCCTTCTATTTTCCTTTGCTCATTAGAACATCCTCTTCTATCTTTGAGCCAGCCTTTCCCTATACTTTTCTCTGTACCCATATTTCCTCAGCTCACTTGGGGGCCAGGCTCACCATTGTCTGACCACCCCTATTCTCAAGTACAGAATAGTCTGCATGGGGGGCAGGGGGCTAGCCCCACTTAATCCCTGTCCTTAACCAACATATCTGAGTATAGGAGTTGCCCATTGGGTTTCCAGCCCACCTTTACCGTGGCACTCATTGGTGTGTGCTACTGTCTGATTGCCACTGTCTCCCCCACACAGGTATGAATTCCAGGAGCACCAGTAAGTAGACTGAGCCCCAAACCTGGATCTTAACAAGTGTGTGCAATGACTTGTGAGACTGAGTCTCTTGGGCAATATGGAAGAAATCACAAAGGATGGGTGTGTCTTACTTTTTGGGGGGTTGGTGGGAATCAATGGTCTAAGTAACTGTATGGAAGCACTGGGGGCTTTGAATCTCCCAGTTAAAGCCACCTTCTTTTCCCTACTAGCCTGTGGCCCCAACTCCAAGGAACAGTCCCTCATTAGGCTCTGCCAAAGCCCTGACCTGCCCTGCCCTGCCCTGCTGGAGGTGAAAGAAGGGACTTTGAGCCTGTTTCACCTTGAAACAAGTGTCCCTTTGCCACCCACCCACACCCACACCCACACACTCTCACACACACTCTCACACACACACTCACACACACACTCACACACACACATCCTTGAGACCTCTTGCTTTGTCCCAGGTCCTGCTACAACGCCCTGTGGTGCGGGATCTACAGCCCACCAATGAACTGGTGACTGTCTCACCATCCAGGTAAACTGAGCCCCCACCCTGCTGAACCCACAGTTTGGTAGGAACCCAAACTTTCTTTGGAAGAGGCAGGAATTCCAATGATGAAGGTGACATTGCTGCATCACTTATTGGTGATTAATAAAGAGAACCGTGGGACTGTCTGCAGAATGAGTCCTTGCAGGAGAATGGGGCCTCCCATTTGGTCAGGAACCAAGGACAAAGAGGAGAGACATGGGAAAGCCTGAGAGACACACAGACTAGAGCAGAGGGTGGGGTTAGACCCTAGTGAGAGGCCAGAGCACAGGGAGAGACAGACACGGGAGAAAGAGACCAAAAAACAGGGGAGAGAGGTAAGGAAGAGATAGAAACCAGAAAGAAGCAGGCAGGAGAGAAAGAGGAGGGGGCAGACCTCAAGCTCCTGGGAAGTTTTTTGCTGACTCTCCAATGCCTGCTCACCCCTCCTTCCCCACCTTAGAGTCTTGAAGACCCTCAGACCAGCAGAAACCTCAGGGCAGTGTTGCGGTGGGGCAAGGTTCCAACAGGGTTTGGGATCTCAATCCCATCAGCCTAACTTGAGTTCTGAATGATGAGGGCTCCCTTTTTTCCACAGGAATGCTCGTCCCGCTCACATCCCCGGCACCCTGGTCACCCCGGGCTGGGAACACTGAGGGAGTGGGGAATCGGGCATAGCTGTTTTAAGCAGGGTCGGACTGAGGTTAGCTCCTCAGCTGGCTGCTCCAAGGAGAGCGTAGTGCACTCTCTGTTTCTCGAACCGAGTCACCGCGTTAAGTGCGTGCCAGCTCCTATCCTCCAATGGGGGTGGGAAACCGAGAAGATCGCTCAAAACTCCAAGCGTCAGGAGCCAGAGGATCTGGGAGACCTAGAGGAGGGAGAGTTTCCTCCTCTACACCTCGCCTCTAAAGGACAAACTTTTCCCCCCGGGGCAGCCCTCTTGAACCCTGTAGCTCAGGCACGGAAGGGAGAGTCTGGTCAGTCCCGGTTTTTGACCAGAGTGTCAGATCAGCGTAGTGGTTCGTTCCGATGACTGGGATGTATAGCCCGTCGGGCTCTTTTTGCCTCTGTGCCCCAAACCTCTCCTATGGCTCACCTTGCCTTCCCTTGCGCGCACAGCCGCGCGCTTCAGCGCCCGCGGGCGCGAAGGTTGCTCTCCCTATCCACCGCCCCAGAGCCCATCTTTGCCCTCTCTATAGCCGCCGGTTATTATCAGTCTGAATACCAGTTCTCAGATGCTGCCTCCTCAGGGTCAGCCTCCAAGGACTAGTCAGCGTACCCAGGAGCCCTGCGCTCTAACTAGTTGGGCTAAATAACAGCATTTCCGTGCCGCCCCGCATCCAGTAGCTTCTGCTTTGGAGCCGCACCCCTGCAACCGAGGACTTCGGAGTGCCGGCAGGCTCTGACCATCCCTGCGGCCGCTGTGGGGTCTCAGCCTGCGCCCTCCTGACTTGCCCGCCGACTCTGACCCAGTGCCTCTCTGCCTTGAGCTCCCAGGCCCTAGGCCAGCCCCATACCCCCACCGGGCCCACCTGACCGTTCTTGCAGAGGTCCGCCCACATACTGGTGCCGTCGCCGCCGCGCATGAGGACATGGTAGGTGAAAAAGTAGGTGCCTGGAATGTTGCACGTAAACTTGCCGCTAGCCGCGTCGTAATTGTTGCCTAGGTTGGTGACCACGTCGTCGAACTTGAGCACCTCGTAACCCTCATGGGGGTTCTTGAGGCCAGCGTAGAAGGCCACGCGCGGCACTGTGGTGTAGGTGGCAGTGCTGATGGCGCCACTGCCCCCCGCGCCTGGCAGCCCGGGGAGCCCTGGCTTGCCTGGTTCACCCTTCTCCCCAGGCGGCCCCACGGGGCCCGGAGGACCCGGATCCCCGGGAGGCCCAGGGGGACCCGGCTTGCCTGTGCGGCCCGGCTTCCCTTGGGGGCCCTGCACCAGCGTGGATGGCGGGGGCGCGCCGCTCTGCTCACTCAGGGCGTCGCCACCGTCGGGCCGTGCGCCGGCGCCGGGGCCCCGCGCGGGGTAGGGGTCGCACACCATGCGGCAGGTGCCCAGCATCTCATAGTGGCCGTCTGGGCCGCCCGAGCTCACCAGCACGGGGATGAGCACCACCAGCACCAGCAGCATCACCACGCCCGCGGCGGCCACCAGCAGTGTCTTCCGGCCGGCGCGGAGCCTGGGGAGCGCCGGGCCACCCGGCCGCGCCGTCGGGGCAATGATGCCGGCGGGAGGGGGCGCGGCGGGGCGCCCGCGCTCAGGGGCGGTCTGGCGGGGTTGCGGGCATGGGGCCGGGCTGGTGGTGCCGCGCGGTGTTTGCTGCGCTGCGGAGCCCAGCCGCCGACTCCAGCCTCGCGCCTCCCTCCTGCTGCGCGGCCGATCAGAGCTGCGGCCACCGCCTCCCGCCTAGCTCCTCCCGCCTCCTAGTACCAGAGCCACCGCCCCCTCGGCCGGCCCGGCCCCGCCCCGCTCCTTCGCGAGGCTTTGCGCGCTCGAGGGGTGGGGTGGAGGGCGGATCTAAAGCCTAATTGGGCAGCGGGCGAAAGACCCCGCCCATCTCGCGGGTAGGGCAGGGAGGAGGCGGGGATTCGGAGGCTAAGGTCGGAGCCCCAAAAGGAAGAACTAGCCTGAGCGAGCTGCTAGAGACTGAAACAAAATTGGGAAGGAGGCTAGAAGCTGAAAGTCAGGGAGAAGCTCCCAGAAGGAAGGGAAGAGTAAGGACGAGAGAGAACGGAAGAGAGGGCCACTGGGAGAGCGCCGAGGAGAACCGAGAGAGGGTCACTAGAAAAACCGTGAGAGAAGGAGAAAGGCGCGAGGGGCCTTGTCCCGCTGGGGACGGAGAGGAGAAGGGATTGCCTGGGGATTCAGGGGACAAAGAGCGATTGAGGGGAAACGGAGCGGGAAATGAGAAGGAAGAGGGTTATGAGAGAAGAAAAGAGAAAAGAAAAAGGAGGATAGTGTAGGGGGTCACCATACACCCCTTTGGGGGGGATCCTCCACCTGTCAGGTACCCAGCGTCTTCCCGTGTACTGAGGACACCAGTCCCTCCTGTTTTCTTTCCTACTCTCAGACTCACCTTTCCTCAGGAGGGCCAGGATCTTAGATTCCCACCCAACTCCAGGCCAATTCAGGCTGATTTTTCTTGGGGGCCCTCTCCTCCATCTTTCTGTGATCATTCTGGTATTAGACAAGGGAAAATGGGAATCCTAAGAAAGTGAGCAAAAAGAAAGGAAAACGAGCACCCCCACGTTATTTTTCCATCTGAGAATACGAAACCATCTCTGAATGGTGGTACCTTTCCCAGCCACCTAGATGAGTGGACCCACACAGTTCTTCTGGCCTCCTCCTTCAGCCTCCTCAGCAGGCTTCCTAACTCTTCTCCCTATTAGGTTGCAAGAGGTTCTCCTCTTCCTTAAAAGCAGTAAAGTGTTTAGGTTGCATAAACTGAAATGTGTCTACCTTTATAAAAATATTTGTCACATTATTTGAGGCCACTGCTCCTTCTCCCTCCACCCTCCACCCCCCACTTTATCTAGCCATCAGCGAGGGTTCTGCCTTTAGAAGCTAGGCTGGCTGCTGAGATTCAGCAGCCTCTTCCTACTCTCCGTTGCTGACCCATATGAAGTCCGTAGAACAGGAGCTCTGGTAGCGTCGTGGTTATGAGTCGGGCTGCGAACCTGAAAGTCAGCGGTTCGAAACTACCAGTCGCTCCGAGGGAGAAAGATGAGGCTTTCTACTCCCGTAAGGATTTACACCCTCGGAAACCCTGTACAGGGTCGTTATGGGTCGGAACCGACTTGAAGGCACTTAACAACAACAACAACAACCTACCCATAGGCAAAGGAGCTCTGGTAGCGTAGTGGTTACGAATCGGGCTGTGAACAGCAAGGTCAGCAGATCGAAACTACCAGCGGTTCCACAGGAGAAAGATGAGGCTTTCTGCTCCTGTAAAGATTTACAGCCTCAGAAACCCTGTACAGGGTCGCTATGGGTCGGAATCGACTCGACGGCACATAACAACAACAACAACAACCCATAGGCAGCATCGATGGACTCAAGTGTGGCAACAATAGTGAGGTTGGCCCAGGATCGGGCAGTGTTTCATTCTGCTGTGCATAAGGTCGCTATGAGTCGGTACCGATTCAATGGCATCTAATAACAACAATCCATAGTTGAAGGAGTCCTGGTGTGGCGCTGTGGGCTACATGGCGTTAGACTGCAAAGTCGTTTGAACTGCAAGATCGGTGATTCAAGCTTACCAGCTGCTCCTTGGAAACTCTATATAGGGTCGCTATGGGTCGGAATCGACTCTACGGCACTTAACAACAACAACCCATAGTTGAGCTGTTTCATTCTGCCTAAAGGCTGGGAAAGGCTTTGGGCTTTGGGCAACTCATCGAAAATTCCCGCGGTTTTAAACCACAAGCGGATTCTCCAGAGAGAGATGAGGCATTCTGCTTCAGTAAAGAATGTTGCTATTGTTAAGTACCTTCCAGTGGAATCCAACTCAGAGCGACCCTGTATAGGGTTTTTGAGGAGCGGCTAGTGGGTTTGAACTGCTGACCTTTGGTTACTGTCTGGTGCTTATCTTTCAGCGCCACACCAGGACTCCTCTGTAAAGAACTGCTGTTGTAATTAAGTGCCACCCAGTCGGTTCCAACTCATACCGATCCAGTATAGTGTTTCCAAGAAGAGGTGAGTTTGAACTGTCCACCTTGTGGTTCAAACCGACCTTGCGGTCCTGCGCTTATCCTACAGCGCCACACCAGGACCCCAAAAATACTGCATTGATTTGATGCAAACTCAAGATCCCACGGAACCGAGTAGAACTACTCCCTAGGGTTTCCCAGGCTGTAAATCTTTACTGGAGCAGCTGGTGGGTGGGTTTGAACCATCAACCCTCGGTTAGCCGTCCAACACTTAACCCATTGTGCCACCAGGGCGCCTCCCGCAAAGAATTGTTGTTGTTAAGTGCTGTTGAGTCAATTCTGACCCATAGCGACCCTGTATAGGGTTTCTGAGGAGAAGCTTGAACCGCTGACCTTGCAGTTCAAACGGCTTTGAAGTCTGGCGCATTAACCCACAGCGCCACGCCAGGACTCCCCCACAAAGAATACAGCCTCCCAAACCTTATGGAGCAGTTCTACTCTGCCCTGTAGGGTTTCCAGGAGTTGGAATCCACTCTAGGGCAGCCGGTTATGGGTTGGGAGGAAAAGAGGCACGAGACTATTAACAGGGGAGCTGAGGTTTGAGCACAGGTTATTGTCCCTCCATCCTATGGAGGGAGCTTAAAAATGCAATAAATGGCATTTATTCTGGGCTGACTGTGTTCCAGACTCTGTTTTGAATGCTTTACATCTGTGATCATACTTGATCTCCACAATCCAAAGAGATACAACTCATCATTATTTTCTTTTTACAGAAGGAGAGCTGAGGCTCTGGGCAGTTAAGGGACTTGTTCTAAAATCACACAACTGGTAAATGGTAGAGCCTGGATTCAAACCGTCAGCTCGGCTCCAGCTCTTCTAGCTTCAATTTGATTGGGGTTCTAGGCACTGTTTACCGCCCAAAGGCAGGTGTTCAGAGCTAAGGAAGGGTTGAGAGCATGAGTCAGGCCAGCAGAGGGCTATCAGTCCGGTCTCCCCCTATTTCTCCCCATGAAAGCCACAGGGCTGGTGACACAAGGGACGCTTGCACGGTCACTAGCGTATAGTTTGTATAGACCCCCCCCCACACACACACACTACACCCTCACACTCCCCCTCCTCCACCACATCGCTGGGGCTCCTCCACCTTCCTCCTGCAGCCCTCCCAGAACCCGCTAGGGTTCCGCGGCTGGCTGCCCCGGCGGAGCAGAGGCGGGGACCGCCACCCCAGCATTCGCCCCGCATCGCTAAGGTGCGCGCGGAGGCCAGCGCCCGCCCCCGCCCGCGCGCCTGTTCCCCAGGCGCGGAGTGGCGTCTCTGTCAGCCCAGCCGGATTCTCCCCGCTTCGCTGGAGTGGAAAATAACGGCTTCAAACTTTGCAGAGAGGAGCTGTGCCAGCACTTTAATTAACAGCCATCTTGGCCTGCGAGCCTGGACCACCAGCTCCGCGCCTCCTTCAGGCTCGCCAGGCGCCGCCCTGGCCCCGCCCAGGTCCCGAAGGAGACGTCCATCCCTTTCTCCCTGGTGTGGGACTCTGGACACTTGGGAAATGAGAGCCTGGCTGATTAGCGGGGGCTGCTGCCTTGCTGGACGGCTCCTCAGCTTAGTTCCTTAAGACCCCCGAGATATCTCTCACTTCAAACTGTCTAAAGCCTGGCGGTTGAAGATTCTGGAATTAGATTTATGTGCAAGTCTCAACTAGTGATTTTAGACAAGTCACCTAACCTCCCAGGTCCATTGTCCTCCTTCATGAAAAAGGTCGTTGTGAGGATTAAATACGATCTGACTCCATGGCACTTAACAACAACAATTATGTAAGGAGTTCTGGTGTGGCACTGTAGGGATAAGCACTGGACTACTACTGCATGGTCCACATGGTCGGCTGTTCAAACTCACCAACTGCTCCTCAGAAACCCTGTATAGGGTTGCTATGAGTCAGAACCAACTCAACAGCACTTAACAACTTAATAAAAATAAAGTATGTAAAGCTTTGGATTTAGCACCCAGTAAATGGTGGCTCTGGTAGCGTAGTGGTTACAAAACGGGCTGTGAACAGCAAGGTCAGTTCGAAACTACCAGCTGTTCTGCGGGAGAAAGATGAGGCTTTCTGCTCCCATAAAGATTTACAGCCTCGGAAGCCCGGTACAGGGTCACTATGTGGCGGAACCGACTCCACGGTACATAACAACAACAACAAAATGGTGGCTACTTATAATTATTTCACTGAGGCTTAAAAGGTCTTCCCTCCACCCCAGGCCTTTGGTCTCCTTGGTCCTGGCATCTTCCTGTAGATTGTTATGCTTGGCACTAGAACTGGGGTACAATGGATTTCCCCTTCCAGGTTTAGAGAGGGTACCGGATGAATGAGGGAGAACCCCTGGAGTACTAGCTCCCAGCTAACCAACCATGAAGACCTGGGACCCAGATTTCCAGGAAGAAGAAGGCACCAGAGTGTATGCTGGGGGATGTAGACCTGTCTTATCTCTAGTTGGAATGCTGCCTGTTTGGTTTTGCTTTCCCTCTTTTTTTTGTGGAAGCTCCTTCACTCCTACAGTCCCTGTCATTCCAGGGTAATTGTGTGGGGTGCAGGGAAGTGGGTAAGGCACTTAATTTATGCAAGGCTGACTTCAGGAAACAAAGTGTCTGTTCAGTGTTATTCTGGGGTTCTTTGAATGAATGAATGTGAGTGGGTGTGAATGTGTAA